CCACTTTTAAATAAGATCGTTCTTTCAGCCTGAGCGCATAAATCCAGACCTCATGTCCCATGGGTACGATGTGCGCTCGGATGTATGGAGTCTGGGCATTAGCCTGGTTGAGCTGGCTACCGGTCGGTTTCCCTACCCTTCTTGGCGGTCACCCTTTCACCAACTCCAGTCTGTACTGCAGTCACCTTCCCCACAGCTCCCGCCCGATGAGGAGGTTTCAGTACCGTTTTCTGCAGCAATGCGCGAGTTCGTCGATTCCTGCCTTCAAAAGGACCTCAAGAAGCGACCAAAATACGCTGCTCTTATGGTAGTTTTGAATTTCCCTTTCTACTGACGTAAATCTTCTTTATTATTACTTATGTGCATTGGTGAGCATTTGATCTTGAATCAATGTTCGTGTCTTTTTGAATTAAATCTAGTTGGCTCGTAGTACGAGGATTCCTCTGTTATTGTTTCCTGTTCTTTCTTCGACAGGAATTGCCCTGGTACGTAGAGGCGACGTCATCTAAGGTAGAGCTAGGCGCCTACTTTACAGCCGTCTTGGAGTCCGCTTCTGAAACTGCCCTATACTAAGAGTATCCCACTTTTAACTTATTACTTGCCCACATTTTGTGCTGCATATATATTAATGTAAAGCTAATATATTTTGTGCTCTGTACGTATTTTGTTTTTTCTTTTGTGTTTCGGCGGCAAAACGTCGATTACCTAGTGTCAGAATTGGGTCTTTCAAAAAGGTCTCACCTTCACAAGTAATTCCCTGCCGCTATTCCCGCATACACTTACCGTTTTAAGGGATTTGCTTTTTTGCAAAATGTGCGTAATAAATGAGACCTTCATGCACTCAACGTTCTTCATCTAAAATGCAATGGAAAGAGGCAATTACTCGGTAACTTTGGTGTGCATTTCACCCTGACTTCCGATGTTTCAACGTTCAGATGATACTGATTTAATGTATCTCGCCTTTTATTAATTAATTTCAGCTCTATGGCTTTTCTTCGCACATGGCATTCTGAATCATGCGTAAAAGAAAGGCAGGGTACTACTATGGAGATTTACGATCAAGTTTCGAGGAAAACCGACTGTGACCAAAATGGTGGACAAAATAGAGCCGACCGGGGCTACCGCTTTATTATCCAGCTTCCCCTTGATTTTCCACTCCGACAGTCCTCTTGATTGCTCTTTCACTTCGGTCTCAGTGGATGTGAATAAAGACCACGGGTCTATTTGCATCAGACGGAGAGGGATGCAAAGTAGTGGCCACGGACTACCCGGAATGTTTGTAACACAGCTGTCTACGGTACCTTTGTGAAGGCACAAAATGTGTGAACACCTGCTATACTCTTTACCTCTGCTAGCAGGACTGATAGGGCCAATTCTTCTTGACGCGGGAACAAAGTGACAATGATGAGTGGCTGCAAAACTCTTCCCCCACACGTTACTACTTTTACCGCTGTATCTCTGAGCCGAGAGTGACGTGTTGCGCTGATTTTGGACTATGCTGTGGACGGCACTCAAAAGAAAAGAGGGTGCTACACAATACATTGTCCCCTGTTCATCTCTCCGTTCACGTACCGGTCCACTCGGGACTCTGACGTTGCGAATCCTCCGTGCAACTGCACCAGTTCATCCCGGTAGTTTCACGTTCATTTGTCCGTCGACTGTTATGCTTTCTTTCATCCTTGAGATATTGCTAGTTCTCTAAGTGTGCATTCCTAAACCCTTTATTTTCATCCCAGTTGCATTTTGCCCTGGCATCATGACTCTCTGACTGTGACCACAATTCGG